GTTGCTAAACCAAAAGTTTATTACCACAAGTCTTTCAATCATTCACAATTAGTTAAAATATGCAAATACTTCTCCTCATTAAATCTTGCATCGGATTGACTGAGGCAGGAACCCAAAGAAATTGTAAAACGAATTTAAGATATTGTGAGGTGTTCACCAGAAAATTTTTCCTCTTCAAGATATCATGTTGAAAGCTTTAAAATTGAACACGTATGTGTGGTGAAAAATTAATTTCGTGCTGAAAGGTAATAAGTAAAATAAGTGACTAGATAGAAGAATCAAATTCAACTGTTAGTACTCCCTTCATTGCACTGATTTCAAAATATGCACAATACAATGGTGATAGCGACGGTTGTGCTGTTAGCCTTCAATGCCATCGATGTCACAAAATCGATTGAATGCCGACGATTGCCCGAATCAGACAGAGAATGGAATTTTGTTAATGATGGTTAACATTTTTCAGTTTTGGTCAAATTTGAATTTAAAATTTCTTTCAGTAATGGCATTGGTAAAGATTTATATTCATGGCCATCTTCTCCTTTTAGAGTCTTGCATTAAAATTAATTTTAGCTGAGTGGTTGAAATTGAGTTAAAACAACCAAAAGAAAATGGAAATATATGGAAAGGATTGATCAGGGGAACTGTGAGAAATTGAGAAAAGAAATGTCTAATCAAACAGTCTTGAAAGCGTGCCTTGACAGGGAAAGATAGCCAAAGTGAGCGATCAGTTACCGTGAGAAGAATTGAGAAAAGAGAAGTCACGCTGGACACTATTAGAAATGGGCCCTCATATGACGGGATAAATTGGTTCAACCGAATAGGGGAAATTCCCCGTCGTGAAATTATCAAATATCTAGACCTACAAAGTCTCGTGGCATTTTCGCAGGTGGGCGAGAGTTGTGAGTGGTTCAGTTCCACCTCCTCTCCAATTCTGCTGTACTCATTCCGCTTTCGCTTCTTTTTCCATTTTTGTCGCCTCAGGTATGCACGGAGTGGAAAGATTTGGCAGAAAGATGCAACCGTTGGGAAGAAGCCAGCCGATCCTCCAACATACCCAAGTGTTGGTACTTTGATCACGATAATTTGGACCAATCTACCCAATGGACTGCCCACTGTGCTGATCCTACTCACACGTGGGAGAGAGCAATACGCCGTGAGAAGGCTGTTGAATACAAATGGCTCTCACGTGACCTTGAAGTCGTTGAAATCGATGGTGTAAGTGGTATTTTACTACCTTGACATAAATGAGTGCCTATTAACTATGCATGTATCATTATCAGTACCCCTAGCCATGATTCATGAAAATTGAACCCAATTAGAGTTTATGATAGTAATTTGTGATACCGAAACAATGCAATAAGTTTGACAAGAGAATGTGTCACTATGGAAGTGAGTGAATTAAATTTTTGTGCATCAGAAGCCAAAGTCGTAGTTTCACTATATTAGTACGTCTTCACAATTATTAGATTTAAGTAAGAAATTGATAATCGCTGTTTATGAGATTATTATATCATGAATCACATCTCTAATGTCCCTCTTAAAGTACTAAAAGTACTGTTAATTCGAAATTATTGAAGAAGTGATGGAAGTCTTAATGGCTTTCAAGATCAATAATTCAATCTGCCGAAGAAAAAACATAACTTGACCAGTTAATTAGTCCAATTAGTTTCTAGTAGACTCCACTTTTGTACCTTCTTTTGCTCTCTTCCGAATGAAATTTATGAAGAATGTTCCCATTTCAATATTCTTTAGAGAATGCGGTCGGATGCCAACTACATACATGTGGAGTCTGTGCTAACATACGGAGAAGAGGTGTTTATGACTCATTCAAACGGTCAAGTTTACATTATGGACTTGACTCGACTCCGTGAAGAAATAGGCATATGGCTAGAACCTGCACCGATAATAACCAAATTGGCCATAATGCATTTTACTAATAAACCTCACCTGCAAATACTGGGAACGGGAAATGGTTGCATTCTTATTTACGAGATGTCCAGTAGTGGATTCAAGTGGCCTCGCACTCTGACTCTCCACAAGTCAGCAATAATATGCATTAGTGTTTCGAGAAATTCTATTGACCCTCACATGCACGATGATAGTGGTCTATTTGTCAGTGGCAGTGTGGACGGAAGTATTCGTTTGTAGAAAATCTTTGACAGGCGAGTGCGTGCAGGTCATTGACTGTAAGTCAAAAGAGCCCAATTATTACTTTTTAGAAGAAGCAATAGTTGCGAAACATAGGCGTTTGAATCCATCGTGTTGATTAATGCATAACTTTCTGCAATGATTTCGTGGTAGCCGCAGATATGGGTGGAAATATAGTTTCCATGCGAATTGATAAATCTGGCGATTTTGATATTTGTTTTGTTTTGAAAAAAAGAATTTTTTGCAAAACGATTTGAGCTAAACGGTAAATAGCTCGTGTGTATCAATCATTCAAGAATAAGCATTGTCGACTTAGAGGATGGACCTAGTAATCGCGAACTTCAGAAGTCATCCGCTTTCGACGGTGATGAAGTCATAGTTGACTTAAGTCAAATCGCATCATCTTCTTTAATCATGATAGCGTGTATATGCACAACCTTAGTGCAAACGAGTGTGCTTGTTTCCAAATAAGTTAGTAAATTCTGTCAATTTGATGATAGGTGAGGGAGTAACGAATTTTAGATCCTTTGGAAGAAGTGTCGATTAATTCATGAGCTACATCGGTTGTCAGTTGTGAACGTGTCAAAGTGCCACCTGGCTCTGTCTGTCTCCTCTCAGAACATGTTTTGCTTGACATTTTACTCTACTCGTGGGGGACGGAGGTCAAGGATGTACAGGATATCTGTCAGTCGACCTGTAATTGAAGATAGCTGAATTGTTTTCGACATTACGGATGATGTTAGGCGAGTTTCTGCACAGTGTCGGCTTCTCTATGTCAGCCTCATTTCGCCACACATCTGCGTCAGTATCTTTCTATGTATCTAGATTCATTTCTTACTTCGATTTTCCGAATCTCCTTCTAAACTATTTTTTCCCCTCGCTTTCCCTTTTCTTATATCTTGCTTCTAAGGTCTAACTTTCTGAAATGACCAACTTACCTAAGGCTTTCAATTTCCTCCACACCACCCTATTCATATGTCTATCGATGCCGTTAGCTACCAAAAGCCTTTTTCATTTTCCACTAACCCACATCTCTGTCTCCTTCCCTTTCCTCCACTCTTTCTTTACATTTTGTAAATTAAAGGGAAAGTTGGTTCTGTTTTGTATGGAGCATGATTAGGACTATTGAAATTGAAGACAATCAGAAATGTTGAAACTAAATAAATATATTCCTTGAAATAAAAAAGAATTGTTTGCGCATTGCGTTTATTAATCAATTCCATTATTCAAGTAGAATTATATTATCAGAGGTGTTGATTTTCTGAATGACGTTGCCACTAACCTCGAACAATTTGAATTTGGCAGCTCCAGTCCTTCAATTCCAGGAGAAGCAATTAACTGGATCAAGGTGAAAATGGACTCTTTCTCTTTCTGTACATTCTGGCTATAATATACCGTGAAGTAGTTTACATAATGTACTTACTGGTGTTCAAAATTGAGCTTATTTCTAAGGAGAATATGGCGTATATATGACGTAATGGTGAAGTGAAAACTACGAGAATGTGATAAAATGTTTGCTAATTCACTTTTATGAGGAGGTAATGGCAACCCAATTGACAAATATGCTTTTGGAGTGTGAGATAACACAGGGGGTTTCTGTTGAAAGCCAAATCTTGGCCCATTAAATGCCACATCGAGACAATGAGAATATGGCTTTAGAAGTCCATACTTGTGAATCGTTCAAATATTCCCACATAGAATCCGAGGAATTTAAATGTGAGCATGCTTCCTTAAATCTCCTCCCCTTTCCCGCCATAATTGTGTCCAGTAGAGTGAACACACTGCTTATGGGGTAATTGCGGATGAATTAATGGATGTTAGTTTGGAAGTGTGATTTTGGTGTCAGATGAAATTTCATCAACAGGATTATGGAAGGTAATCAGTTTGTGCGAATAAGGCCATCTTGTTGATGAGTTGACACAACAGTATTGGCTTCATGGCGTTTTATTATAACAACGTTAAGCTTAAGAGCGATACCACAGAGAAAGTCAGAGGACGAATGAAGTGAAGCTAAGTACCAAAATCGTGTAAGAGTAACGATGATTCTCGTCCATTCCATATTTTCTTTAATATCGCAATCTTCGCATCCACATACTCAATTTCAAATTGCCTCTCTCACTTCCTCACTGTCTTACACTTCCCCCTCTCTAACTCTCTCAAGTTTGAATTGGGCAACTTTGCAAATTAATTAAGCTTTATTCAATTTGACACTTTTGAAACAACTGAATCATCCTTAGGTAGATCGTCATTTGAGTGGTCATAGTATTAAGTATATCTCCTAGTCCTATTGAATCATGTTTGTCCACCGATAGCGGTCATAAGCGACCCCAAGTCATAATTTGCGATCAAGTCAGTATGTGTTCTCCCTGTTGTCCATTGGCTTACGTTGCGCGCATAGTGAAATGCCCTCGTTTCCTTAGACTCCTTTCTGATCTGATGCAGGAGGCAGTAACAGAATGGAGGTGGTAGAATATGCCAACTTTAATTTACCACAAATGCATATTATTCAGAGTTATCACTAAAGCTCATTCATTTTTCCACAAATTATGGCCCTATAATTTCCTCAATTCCAAATTACTGGAATTTGAGATTCAGACCAAAATAATTGGATAAGAGTCTGAATTATAATATTGAGACTTTATTTGTATTTGATTTACTATAATTAATTGTACTTCAAATTTCAATGCAAATAATTAATTTAACTAAAAATGTTAACGTTCTGAATACCACTGATAGTACATTTAGAAAGGAAATGGCTCCTTCCGAATCATTTATTTGATATTAAAGCAGTCAAAATTCAGATATTCAAAACTGAAAGACCACCACACTACTTCCTGCAACTACTGGTGCAACTAAGCTCTTGCAAGTGGAGGCTCCTCTTCATATAGAGTCGCATTCGTGGACCGCACACTGGAACAGCGCCGTTTCAAATGTTCGATTAGGAGTCTACCAATGCCACAAACAAGAAGATCAATCGCCACGGGGTTCGCATCTTCGAAAGGGACAATAATATCCGCACGAGACTTTGTGGGAGCGATAAAGTTGTCGTAAGCTGGTTTGACGAACGAGAAATACTGACGAATGATGTCGTTGACTTGACGACCGCGCTCACGAATATCTCGAAGAAGACGCCTTGAGAGACGCACTTCAGCATCGGTTTCAACGAAAATCTTCACATCCATAAGCTTAAATAACATCACAAAATGTTTGTAATATTTCCATTCTTGTGGATAAATTCAAAAACATATTTCTTCCAAGAATGAATTACCTCCAATAGCTCCTGATAGCAATAGGTCATGATGCCTTCGAAAATTATCACTCTAACGCCATCAACTTTAACTGTTTTACCGGTACGTGAATGTGTCACGAAGTCATATATTGGAACTTCAATAGTTTTGCCTTCTTTTAGCATTGAAAAATGCTTGAATAGCAGCTGAGAATCAATTGCGGAGGGATGATCAAAGTTGAAACGACCCTCGTGTGCAAGAGCTTTGTCTTCATCGGAAAGTTCCTAAAAATGGATTAAACTTTGGTTTGAACTCGTCGTCCTTAATTAGACATCAGATTAGTTTCGAAACTCTCGAATGATTTTGCAAATAATACGCAGTTTATCACCTTTAATTCATTAGTGTAATTTACAGTAATAGCCAGTTGCTTTGTGAACAATTAAAATATTGCTTGGATTTGATAATGAAAAGTCAATGCTTACCTAATTGACACGTTGTGTTGTGGAATGCATCAATGTTATCGGCCTAAGTTTCATAAATATGNCTGACGAATGATGTCGTTGACTTGACGACCGCGCTCACGAATATCTCGAAGAAGACGCCTTGAGAGACGCACTTCAGCATCGGTTTCAACGAAAATCTTCACATCCATAAGCTTAAATAACATCACAAAATGTTTGTAATATTTCCATTCTTGTGGATAAATTCAAAAACATATTTCTTCCAAGAATGAATTACCTCCAATAGCTCCTGATAGCAATAGGTCATGATGCCTTCGAAAATTATCACTCTAACGCCATCAACTTTAACTGTTTTACCGGTACGTGAATGTGTCACGAAGTCATATATTGGAACTTCAATAGTTTTGCCTTCTTTTAGCATTGAAAAATGCTTGAATAGCAGCTGAGAATCAATTGCGGAGGGATGATCAAAGTTGAAACGACCCTCGTGTGCAAGAGCTTTGTCTTCATCGGAAAGTTCCTAAAAATGGATTAAACTTTGGTTTGAACTCGTCGTCCTTAATTAGACATCAGATTAGTTTCGAAACTCTCGAATGATTTTGCAAATAATACGCAGTTTATCACCTTTAATTCATTAGTGTAATTTACAGTAATAGCCAGTTGCTTTGTGAACAATTAAAATATTGCTTGGATTTGATAATGAAAAGTCAATGCTTACCTAATTGACACGTTGTGTTGTGGAATGCATCAATGTTATCGGCCTAAGTTTCATAAATATGATGTTCTAAATTGACCTTTAATGAACTTTTACTAGACCTCATTCCTTATGTTATTGCAAGCTGACCTTACAATTCGTTGGTTGCTATTTCCAGTAGATCAATTTATGTTACCCCACACTGTTCCTATTTCGCAGTTCATAATTTAAAGCGGTTATTCATACGGGATATTTCAAACAGACGGTTTATAGATCAAAAAGAAATTGAATCTATTGGAAAGACTATTGGAATGAAAACATTTCAGATGACTTTAAATTTAACATGAAAATCATTTAATGATTGCGCTAAAATGAATGAACACCTGTTCGGAACATAAATATGCCTCGACAAATTTGTGTGCAAATTCCATAGATCAATTTTTGTTTATAAATTACTGAGTCATTTATACTTATACACTACTTTACAAACTGTAAATAAGAGAGTGATAACTTTCAAAGATCAGTTACCCACAAAATATACTAATAGTTGTTAAAAAATTGTTTACAGCAAGACAGAAACCAATACAGGAAGGAAAAAAATTTTGTTTCATAAGCGAACTTACAATTGTTCCAGGCAAGGGTACAATATTTCCAGCACAAAGTGTATGGTGGATATCGCAGTTTTAAACTCTAACATGCAGCATGAAACAACATCTCAGAACATCAAACTAAATTCTCATAAAAGTATCAATTAACTGCATCGAACGAGTGAACTCTATTAAAAGCTGGTGTCTTCACTCACTAGACTGTTTTGCATTTAATTTTACTCAGAAATTAATCCATAAAGTGAAACTTGTAGCATCAAGGTAATAAAGCGACCAAACTCTACCTTGTAATATGAGTCCATGCTCAAGATGATGATACTTTTTTGGCCAAGTTGTTTGACTATGTTTTTAGCCAACGTTGTCTTTCCACAGCCAGATCCACCAGATATGCCAATAATGAAGCACGCCTGTTTGCTATCAAACAAATTTTCACTCAACTTCTGGAAAGCACTTGTCAGCTTTTCATATTCAGCCATTTCGTATCTGTCAATTGTCGAAAAAACAGTTAGTGAGGCAAAAATGACATTGTTTATTATCACAGTCCTACTCACCCTATGTGACACAACTGAAAAATTGTTAAGTAAAGTGGGACTATTACGTCAATATGGGCATTCAATTTGGAGCTGAAGGAATTGAGTTAACTAAAACAATAAAAATAATTTATAAATTATGTAATTTTTTAGGCTGTTTTAGATCCGCCTTTAAATTAATATTTCGAATTGGCTTTAAAGTTAATGAACGTAATTACAAAATGTATAGTAACAATTTGTCGAACGATATTAAGATAAAGACTGTTTGAGAATATTTACGCATCATTATCCCTTTGGCATTTGTATTATAAATCGGTTTTTTAGTTTTAAAGTTATTGATAGACCACGTTTGTGAATTTACATCAAACGTTGAGGCAAACTGCTCATTTAATGCAAATTAATTGAATAATAGTATGAAAAAATCTGTTTTGAATAGTAAAATTTAGGCTATTACCTCCAACAAATTCTAGGAAAATGAACCTTATGCCTGTTGGTCTTCCATTCTTAATTATTTAGTTTTTCAAACGAATTTAATCATTTCTCTGTAAATTTTGAATTCAAGACAATGGAAAGCACATAAGTAAGCTAGACTGAGTATCTAAAACGCCAAAATTTAAAATTAAGCAATAAAACTTGTGGAACTCTGTTCAGAGCCTGAGTTTTCTTAAGACTTATTAGAAAGCCTTAATGTTTCTTTAGCAAAACAACCTTGATTATCTGCCTTAATATGGTTTTTAAAATCGAAAAATCCTATTTCAGTATAATATAAAATGAAGGGTCATTAATCCTGATCAAAATTCACAGTGAAAATCTGAAAGGACAGTTATAATCAGTATTGTAATATTTTGAGAAATTATTGAATCTCTTGTAAAAATGGCCTTTGTAAGTCGTAATAAAAGTCATATATATTTATTCTTTTCCATTCATTAGGTTAATAATTCAAAAAAATGAAGTATTATGTGCTTTTATGAACTAGTGCTTATATTTTAACATTTTATATCTATGGCCTTGAGGAAAATTTATGAAAAAATACTGAACAATCCTCATCGCAGCAGTGAATCTGGAGCAATTTTCAGCAAAATTATTTTCTTGGATCCTTAAACCGGGCCTATTCTGCTGCGGTGAGTAGGCGGATTTGACCTGCTTTTACCCACTCGAGACAATTGTACTTCATTACTCCATTTTTACTGGACTAAATTTTGAAATTGAAGATTTTTTTCCGATTTAGAATTCCGGCTAAACAATGTTGGGAGTCCATTCTATTCTTGGTTATTTTGCTGCGGTGATTACTGAAGACCAGTCAAGTAATCAGGTGCATAATTTGTGACCCTGACAAGATCTACTAAACCTTCTGTGACCGGTTTTAGCTTCTCTTATTCTGCTCAAAGGACACCCACTCTCCCCACCCCTTGTCCCTGCCATTTTTGCACAACGCTTTGCTTATCTAGTGATGCCCTTCCTTCTCTAACAATCATCAATAACGAGCGTCAACTTACTCCCTTTCGTCCACTTCCACTGTCAAGGAAGCGGAGTTTCAAATTCATGCATTATCAATCCTGTCCATTGTTTCATTTTTGACCCGGCACAAGCTCAAACGTGATTCGTTCAACTCGGAAGTATTATCAAACTTGGGACCTTTACGTAGCACTAAAATATTTTTTAAATTGCTCTACCACCTAATGTCACGGCATTAGTCTTTGACATTTTTCGCAGGGCGTCACAGAGCATTCTCAAACGGACTGATTTCAGTCGCCTGACAATGTCTGAACAGAAACGTCTACGTTGAATGTTTCCACAACTTGAGTTATGAGATCGCTCTGATTCCCAATTTTTACTCCACATGTGATTATTAGGTGCTTAAATCGATTTAACTGGTAAAATCTCGAAGAGAAATGGATGAAATGTTTCGTTGTAAATATATCGAAATGTGGGGTGTGCGATAGACTTACCTCCACGCGGTGCACCCTGGGCAACGTATACTCATACGGCGAAAAAGTCTATTAACCGGCAGTTGACTTCTGACTTCAAACTACCACGACCTCCCTGGTTGTCATATTCGACCCCTAACACTGTACTCACCTTACCTTTTTCTCTACCTTTGTGTCTGTCTGCCTCTTTTACATCTGTGATTCGCTCTTCTCTTCCCCACCCCTCAACTTTCTGCTACTTTGATGAACCTTCCCTCTGTGAAGCCCGAAGTCAGCTAAAGGACTAATGATAAGTGTCATAAAGCCCGCCATTTGAAATAAATAAATAAATATCGAAATATTTATCCA